GTGTGCCTATTGTGATGCTATGCCGCCTACCCGTTCAATAAACTTCACTATCTATCCATTTCGATTCCTATGTAAGTTGCAGTAAATATTCGATCTTGATTTCTGCTATTTTATAGAAATCATCAATGAAATTGGCCACTAGATATTGCCACCTAGCTCTGCGCAAGGCGGGGCTGTTACATAGAGCTTGTCTTATAACTTCGACAGCTTCTCCTTAAGGGAACTCCCAGGCCCCGTCGCATTTCATGTCGTCTCATCAAGCAGTGCCTGTTAAGACTCCTATAACCCTATTTTTTTGACATTTTCTCGACTCATTTCGGTCTCACCTCTAGATAATCTGCAATGCATACTTTGCCGGAAAGAATCTGCCTAGTCCTGCCTAGCTTGGCAAAGAATATTCAGCTCAAAAAATAATACATCATCAGCGACAGAAAATTTATTCCACATCATTTCACAACAAATTATCATTACGAACTTACTCTTACATTATGTACATAAATACATATATACATATACTGAAAGAAAATTAGTTATTAAATACTCCTTCTACAAGAAGCGACAGCAACAACAGCTAATTAATAGTAAGGAAACACCCAAGTTAAAAGGTGTGTCTAAGCATTGTAGTCTCTACGAAATAAAATGGGTTTTTTGGGCAGTCATTAGCACGTGCTTCGTTAACACCGGCGTATGTACATATGTATTTGTGTGAAAATTATAATTTATGCTTTTGTCTCCGTCAAATGGGTAGTAAACACGCGCTTAGAAACAATTGTTTTACATACATACTCGTACATACAAACTCGTATTATAATTATCAAAGACATAGGCATGCCTTTACAGATTTTAGGTTAGGTCCATAATGGTTGCACCTTGCGTTACCAATTGGAGCCAAAAGCTACATACATACATATGCATACAAATGTAAATACATATGTACATACACGTACATATATAACTTTGTGAAGAGAGGAATTGGAAACTTGCCGTATTCTTGTTATGCTTCTAGGAAGTAAAGTTTTAATTTTTTGTGCATCCCCGAATCTCTATACCGTCGTATTCAGTTTTAATGAATTATTTTTGATTTCTTTTTTCTTTTTCTGCACATAAAAAAAATTAACAAATAAATTATAATTTGAAGACACTTTTCAGTGGTCAGTATAACTTTTCTTTCATTTTAATTTATTTAATTTGTAAACAAACCGTAACAGTTGACTGACATATGCTATTGTGAACTGCTAAGAGCAGGAAAATTCACAATAACTCTACTCTTGAATGAAAGGTGGTAGTAATAATATTATGTCTAATTCAAAGAAACCCCTGTCGCTATTGCTAAAAAAATTTAACAATAACAGATGGTAATCTCTTTGTGTAAGGTGGAGGCGAAGTGGATATATAGCAACCTCCCAACCAAGCTCTCGGTGCGACTCTAGCGAGTCACCAGCAATGTGTTTGGTCTGGCGTTCTTTTTATGGAACTCAATTCGCCCACTGTTGGCCAAAGCTGGACGTTTCTGGGTATGGGCCTCCTATGGACGATCCAACTGCTGACCATACAGGTTCGTATTAAGAGTTTGGCAGTAGGGGAGCAACTCATGGTGTATGATTTCTTGAAAATACCACCAAACACAAATAATAAAACCATCCTGGACGTAAATCCTGACTTGTAGATAGCTTGTGCCAGCTTACTGCTTTGTGACCTTCGACCGTGACCGTTTTCGTTTGACATTGCTTTTTAATTTTGTAATAATAAAAAAATCATAATGTAATGAACAAAAAATAAAAAAATTTAATTTATAAAATATATTTGTATGTGATGAGTAGCCTAGTTGTTACAACGTGCGTATATATTTTGTATTTTCGGTTTTTTAAATAATAGTATTTTTTTTTTAAATTTTTTAACTAAATAATAGCAAAACGCCATATGAAAAAGAAAAAATTAATGAATCATTTGATTTTCATTGAATTTATTACATTTCTATTGGTTTTACTTCTGTTGTCGCCAATGACAGTTTTTCTTTATGCTAAACTATCAAATCTGTTAGTTTACAGCCAAATTTTAACAGAGTGGTGAAACCCTTTCCCGAGATTTTCTAGTTCTATAGAAACTTCAATCGAGCATCGAACCAACAGTTAGTTGCACCTTCTCGTTAATATAAGTTATCTGTACATCTTTTTCAGTTGGTTCCAAACCATTCTGTACAGCGCTTAGCTTCTGGGCAATGGAAACACTATTTGCATGACGATCAGACTCGACGATCAAACTCGACGATCAGATTCGACGAATTCCAATTTTTATCGACATTTTCGTTTATTTACCTTTCGCGCCGTGGAGCATCTTTTGACTGATTGCCTGCATTGGGGCTATCAACACTGTGATAAAGTGAATTCAACTGCCCGACATTTGCGTTTTCGCTTTCATCGTACGGAAATTTGTGGAGAAAAGTGAATTGTGTCTTTGCTGATACCCTACTTTGACATGCGCTCAAATACTACTGGGTTAAGTGAACAACACGTTTGTTGTTATCTTTTTTAGTATAAATTATCATCTTTCTAACGCCATATAGGGTAATCTAATCGCATTTATGTATATATCGCGAGATACAGTTCACCAAACCGATCTATACAAACAATGGATTACTTTTTACTCGACCAATATGTATGTATGTATGTACATATGTTTGTAAAAAAGGTTTACAGAAGCAGTAGTTTGAATTTTTAACGCAAACAAGCACGATTCTATTCTTCATGTCTTCATCATCACTTTTCTTCTTTCCGATTCCTGCAAACTGTGTTTGCATGACAATGGATTTGTTGTGTGGGTGGTGGTGTGTGCGTGTTTTGTTGTTGAAAGCAAAATGCCGGCATTGGCCTATGATAGCTGCTTGCCGGCACGGTTACCGACAACTTTGTTATCATTTGTTTACATACATACATGCATACATGTGTGCATTCATACCCAGCAACATTGTGGTTCATTTATTTAGCGCTTTGAGCTGCCGTGTTTTTCTTAATTCTCTTCAAAAATTTTAATTTCGTTAATAGCTCTTAATTCCTATACCAATTGAAGTAACGTGTGGAGAGGAATTATGAAAATGATTTCAGAATTGACCTTGATATTTCGTGTAGACGCCTTACTATCAAATAGACGTGAGGGAGTGGGTGCCTCTCTGAGGTTGTTCATATAAAAATAGTTAGCTAAAATAGCCTTACTAAGGCCACTAGGTAGTTGAGAAAGCTATAAGCGAATTTCAGTACCGGTGATATCACAACGGGTCCTTTTAACGGCCTTGGTGCGTCGCAAGACATTCACTTTAACTAGGTAAAGTTGGTTTTCTATTTCTTTTCTTACCAGATAAAGATTCGCAGTTCTTATTAAGGCCCCGTTTCTAGAAATTTCCATGCCTCGAATATGCGCTTTTCGATGCTGGTTAGATCAAATACGATCTAATAATCCAACTAAATCGATCTCAAATATGGCTGGCAGTGTGCTATATTTGAAAACACAAAATTTTTGAGAATCTTTCTCTGCTTTTAGCCATAAAAATTTGTCAAAAAATTTTACTTTAAAAAGACTTGGAATAGGTTTTGGAGGTTTTATATTCATTATCTCACAAAAAAATATGAGCCGGACACTTTTTCGATTACTATTATTATGTTTTCGAATGAAAAAATAACAGTTGACCCAAAAAAGACTGGTTCTTCATCAGTAAAATAACTAGTATAATAAAAGAATACTGTAGTAGTCGTTTCAAGATAAAATAATGCGAGGCAACTCCAATGATTTTTGTCAAACTGCATGGACATACATGAGAATGAGACTGGCTCAATCGAGCCCAAGGACTACGTCAATCGGAAAAATACAATTCGAACGTTTTTTTAGCATTTTTACTGGCGTAGACACCTCTTACAACGCTCGATTAATTTTTGTTTCATCTTCCACTGCTTCCACCGGCGGGTACTGCATTAAAATTTTTCAAAGCTGAAGTATTCTTATCCACTTCGCTGAACTATATTACCATGTGGGAGCGAATGCCACGGTCCTTTACGCTCACTTCCAGACCTATACGCTTCGTTTCCATATCTAGCCGAGCTTATGTGGCAATTGTTGAGGCCAAAGATGTCAATATCATTATTCTTTCTCAGCCGCTCGTCGCACGGTGAATATCTACAATAATTAATGGGTGATTCACCAGATCTAAGACACACTGTTAAGGACCAATGTTCGGGGTGGTCTTTAGTCTTTCACATAATACATTCGTAAGAATCTTATAAGCGATTTTGAGGAAGCTTATCCCACGGTGCTTGGCACAGACTGTGGGATCTGGGGATTGGGTACTTGAAGAACTCGGCCGGCAATCTATCAGCCCCCACCGAATTTTGTTTTGTTTGTTTATCATAAAGGATTGGGAAATCTTATTATTCAGTAGACTGGAAAAGTGTTCCCTACCATAAATTCAGTATACTCTGAGCATTAGTCACTCTATTGTAGATCACTTCTCTGGGCCCAAAAAGGAGTTCACTCCGGTTTTCGAAACCATTTTGCGAGTACTGCGAATTGGTCTGTTGTTTAAACATTAGAATAATTCCACACCGCTTGCGTTGGTTAGCAGACTGAAGAAGAATCGCCATACTCATTCGATCGCGTACAAATATTTATATTAGCTCTTCTTCTTCTTCCGCAGGCCAGTTGCAGTGACGTTCCGTTGTTCGCTTTAGTTTTTCAATTTCGTCATTTTATCTTATCGCTAAATAAATAATTATGAAAAACTGTGCAAAGCAATTATAGAAATTCTCAGACTAGCGACGAGAAGAATTCTTTCTGGCAATTAAAAAAGAATTAAAAAATTAATTAAAAAAAAAATTAATAAAAATTTAAAATAAAAAAAATCAATAAAAATAAAAATGAAAATAAAAATAAAATAAGCCAAAAAATACTAAATCAAAGCAAAGAAAATAAGGGAATGTAAAATAAAAAAAAAACGAAAATACATACATACGTACATACAGGCCTGCCATTTTCTACTACTTTCATTAGCCTATTTGCATATAAATATATTTCACACTTTTACGCTTTTTTAACGCCATAACCATAAGGAGTCACCACATCCGTCGAGTGTATTAATTTTACATACATAAATATGTCTATATATACATATGTACATAATGATAGTAGTATATGCACATTCCTTTTAGCTTTTTACCTGAAATCTTCTTTAGGCGTTTGTATGTATGTTATTATATCGTTGATTTTATTTTTTATGTTTAATAATATCTCTTATTTGAGAATCAGTTGACGTAATCGCTCTACAATATAGTATATGTACACATATTTTTTTTTTCATTTTCATTTACTAAATTACATACATACACACATATCTCTATATTTATAAAGATGGAGGAGCGTAGGTGGGCGGCTTGCCGGGAGTGCTGAATGGCTGCAACTGTAACTTGGCTACGCAGTCGTCACGGTTTCATCAGCTGCGCAAAGTCACAAGTCGCGCGGTTTCAAATAGAGAAATCTTAGTAGTGTTCCTTGAGCGTTTGTGGTTGTCACAACAGCCGGTCGCAGCTGCCGGCTAGTAAAAAAAATAACAACAATAAAAAAATTTGCTCTGATAACAATGCTTTAAATTCACTTTTTGATTTGTTTATTGGGACGCGTTTGTTGGTTACAATAGAAGCAGAGCAATGCCGGCGGCGGCACTAGCGCAAATGTGTAAGGTTTCATTGAAATTTTATATAAGGAAAAAGTGTTGATAAAATCCATAGTAATTAAAAAAAAAAAAAACTTTGCGCTAACGGCTTTTATTAAAAGCCACAAACACGTTTTTTTTTAGCAGAAAAAACACGCCACAAATGAAATAAAAAGAAAATTATGTCAAGAAACGCCGGCAAATAAAATTCACTCAAGTTTGTTTGGTAACGGAACAAAAAAAAAATATATATTAGCTCTTCTTCTTCTGCTTCATTCCAGTTGCAGTGACGTTACGTTTTTCGCTTTAGCATTTCAAGTTCGATATTGTGTAAAAACATCCGGAAATCTGCTTATGGTGGAAAAACAAAAAAAAAAATTTATGACTTATATCAAAATTACTGATTGAAGTATATATTTAAACAATAAAGCATTATTAACACAAGTGCACTCTCACAGAGAGCAAAACCGATTTATTTACTATCGCTGTGTTAATTCTAATGAATGATCGAGCATAATGATTGGAAGATTTTAAAATAATATGTATGCATGTAGGTACATATTTAAATTTTTAATAGCCGCAAATTGTTTGGAAACCTCAACGAATTACACTTGGTAACTCAAGTGGCCTCAGCTGAATGCTAACAAGCAAGTATTCTTTACTCATTTGGGTAAGTACTTATGTAAATTGCTGGTATTTTCCAAAATTCTTCGGGCAACCAGCTAGCTATGTGATATGTAGATAGCTCTCTGAACCAAAAAATCAAATCAAAAAAATTTAGTTTTATTTACTTTTTATAATAATTTTTAGAACTTTTATAGCGCACAAGAGAGAAGTGCTGTCTTCGACTATGCCTTTCATGAGCATATAAATACATATAAATGATGGTATTTCAATTCGACGCTTTTACATGCTTGTTTTGCTAGATTTTTAACCAAAAACATCATATCTGAAGAAATCGGCTTTATGGCGGCCGCGGTAGCCGAGTGGTTACATTTTGGTGGGCCTACCCCTTTCTCTGCTGTTAGGTTACATTCCTTCAAATTATTTCTAATCTCTTTTTCAACACCTCGCTGATTTGTGCTCACTTCCTGACGGAAGAGAAGTGCAACTTGAAACAAATATACTTTTTTCGAGCGCTTGAGGTGTACTTATGCAGCGCCGTCCCGTGCCACAAAGTCAGGTTGGGCAAAGAAAGTATATTCGGCGCAACAATTGCAGCTTGAATGAGAAAGCATCTTCAAAAGTGTTGAGGCTGATCGACTTCTCCGAGGAACAAAATATTAATAGCTGTCTGTGGTACCAGTTGCCGGCGCTAGAAAGTTTACCAAATTACATGGATGTCAACGGATCGAGAATTACACAATCAAATTGTTCATGTTGTGATGAACGGACGACCTGTCTTCTGTCTGTTTTTTGATGTGCACACGTTACGGGGATCAAAAGTCGTCTCGGTTCTCTTTCTTGTCGCAACCAATAGACGCGGCAAAGAACGCCTTTCAATCAATGCAGACAACCAGCGGCTTTCCTGTTCAACTTGCACTTCTTCCAGTCATCTCAAACTCCGCATAAGAGATCTGTGGAATTATATTCCAAGCTTTCTACCTACAGCAGCTACAGAAATGATTCTGTATATTCGAAGATGTCAGGAAAAGAGCTGGTATGATAAGGATTGCCAGGACGCAGTGAAGGAAAAACAGAGTTTTCAGACTTTGAGAAGCTTGCTGACAGAGGTAATATTCGAAAATTATATTGAGAGCGGCTGTGGTTGATTTCAAGTTCGTTTCAAGTTCGTTTCAAGATCAGAACATACCTATTGGTCAACTGAAGTCCTGGGAAGACGACTGCGTGTATGAGTTAGGAGCACTTTTCCAGCCTGCTCAATATAAAAGAAAGCGCAACCCGACCAAATTCCCAATTGATTATGATTTAAAATACTTTGCAATACAAAGCGCCGGTAGTCGATGTCGTACTTAATAAATATTGCGTGGAAGAACTGACAAGGCGCATTCATCATCGGATTCTTTGCAAAATGTACTCTCGGATTAAAGAAAATCCCTCAGTGTGCTCTGGCGATGCATAGAAAGCGGTGCTCGTATTCTGCGCTCATAAACGTGGGATAAGCCTTCAAAATATATCATATAAGGTCCTACCGAGCGAATGGTGTGAAATGTTAAGGCCCACCGTAAACTCCTCTCTATGAACAAATAAATAAAGACCAAACTCTACAAGTCCCTCGTCAATACCGTTCTGTTATATGGGGCAGAGGCGTGGAAAATGTCTTCGAGAAAAAGAATTTGTGGTTCACTGCGTGTAAACGACGGGGAATTCCGCAGCGATGCAGTACGATAAGGAATATTCAAGCTCTGACAGTATTCGATACATCAGTACGCTGGTGAAATCAATTTCCATTGATTTCCACATCCCGCTCGAAGTGAAAGATCTCAGCTCGCTGTCATTCCCTGCCGAGCGGCAGCCGAGCGTAAAAAAACCCATTCTACGTTGGTCTATACAAGAAATCGGAGCCAGAATCCTCCGCGTAGCAAAAGCTTTAAAAAATAAATCACATCCAGCAGCAGCTAAGCACTTTTTACAATATTATTTATATATGTATGTAGGTATAAATTGTAATTAATAATCAGCGTCGCCTATGCATGACCCTTCGCCATGATTTACCATTAAAATTATTAGTTTAATATTTCAACGTAATTTCAGATTACTAATTTGTTATTGCTATTTTTTCCAAGTGCGAAAACAGCATTACTAATATTTTCTATACGCAAGCCATTTCGATTTAAGCTCGTATCAACCAATAGCATACATATTTACATACATATTTATGCATATAACTAGCATCTAAGGGTTGGCGGGAAAAATCTCTGTCGTCGCTGAATCATATTAATGATGAAATAGCAAAAAAATCCAATTAAAACTTTGAATAAATAAATCAATTGTTACAGTTATGTACTTATGTATGTGTGACAAACATAAAAACTATGTATATGCATGCGGTTTTGATAAACAATATATTAAATGCATTTACATACTCCCACATACATAAGTATAGATGCATAGGCGAATGCTTCTGATCCGAGCAAATGACTGAAATTGTTTTTGCAAATTTCGTGTCATTTTTATAAATTTTTAATCTGATCAATAAATCATTTAATTTTGTTCTTTTTTTTATTTTATTAAATTTTTTTATTTCTTTTTAATTTAATTTATTTTATTCCATTTTTTATTATTTTTATATTAAAATTATTATTATTATTATTTTTTTTTTACGTAAATCAATTTATTTTACTCCATTTCCTTATTATTTAAATATAATTAATATTACTTAAATCAATTTTTTTATTCCATTTCCTTATTGTTATTATTTTAATTTTATTTATTTTATTGCATTTTATTTCACTTTTTTATTTCACTTTATTTTATTTAATCTAATTCAGTTCAATTTTATTTAATTTTTTTATTTTTATTTTTTTGTATTATTTTACTTTATTTAATATAACTTTTTATTTAATTTTTTTATTATAATTTAATTTATTTCAATTTATTTTACTTTCTTCATCTTTTTATTTTGTTTTATTCATTTAATTTTGTTTGATTTTATTTTTTTGTGTATGTCATTTCAATTTTATTTTATTCTTTTTTACTTTATTTTTATTCATTTCATTTTATTTTTTAATTTAATTGCACTTTCGGCGGCCGCGGTAGCCAAGTGGTTAGCATTACGTACTGACATTCGGAGAGCTCGGGTTCATATTCCGTTATGAAAATTAATTTAAATGGAAAATCCATTTGTTGGAAAACATCAAGACGCAAAAGCACAAATTGGAGAAGAAACTCTGCCGAAAATCGCTCAGCGGTTACAAAGTGCCAAATTATATATAATTGTATTTTATTTTATATTTTTTCATTTTGTTGCATTTTATTTTGGTTTATTTATTTTATTTTGATTTAATTTATTTTATACCAATTTTCTTATTACTATTATTTCATTTTATTTTAATTCAATTTGATTTTGTTATGTTTTATTTTATTATTTTAATTTATTTTACTTCATTTAATTTTGTTTTTAATTAATCTTATTTTATTTCATTTTAACTTATTTTATTTTCTTCAATTTTTCATTATTATTATTTTATTTTACTCCATTTTTGTATTTTGTTTTATTTCATTTAAAGTCTAAAAGGCAAAAAGTACTTTAATCGACGTGATTTGCTTGCGCAAAATAATTTTAGAAGACCAAACAAACATAAATATTTATTTACAAAAAAGCAAACAATCTTACGTATGTACACACACACACATATGTATGTATGTATGGGAGAGTGTGTTTATTGCGCAATGTGCATTTGTTTGTTGTGCTCTAGTTTTTTTGAAATGGCGTGTACGTGTGAAGTGTGTACGTATATATTGTATGTACGTACGTATGTATGTATTGTTTAAAAACGGAAAACAATTAAAATATAACACCAGTAACGGTCTTGAAACACTCATCAACAGGTGTGAAAAAGTATGCTTAATTGATCTAATTTTCCACCTATTTTTATATGTTCATATGTAAGGGTTATATATGTACGAGTATGTAGCTGTTTGAAGTAAAATTTTGTCGTTCTTTTATTTTAAAAATACAAACGGCATACAAAAGCTATGCTTATTAAGCTACTAAGTTTTTTTGTTTCGGTAATTGGTAATGATTTGTTGTGTTTTTTCAATCTCGATAAACTTAAATGCAAAAAATTGGAAATCTTTCACTTTATGATAATGGAATGAAAGAAATATGTATATAAATTTACGTTATATTTTAACAAATCTCGTATAACCTGCAATTGAAATCTGCGAATACAACTCTTGCTTATTGTGAATGCATAATGATTTGGAAAAAGAATAAGCAAAGAGCAAATGTAAATTTTTTTTACAAATAAAATAGTATGGGAAATTTTTAAACAAATTCAAAGCCGAGAATTCGTGAATAATGCACGAAACAGGAGGCATATATACTGTTTGTTTCTATAGTTACTGGAAAGGACATGGAGCCGACATAATCGAAAAATCGAATTTATGGTTCTATTTGCTAGAAATACATTTTTTATTGGAAGTGGACCAATCTCTAATATAATCTAATTGGTATATATATATATGTATGGTTCCTTTAGTGAAATTTTTTTTTTTAGTTAAATTTTTCTTAAAATATTAATCTCGGCCAAAAAAAAAGGCTGATTGGTTGGAAGAAATGTTAAAAAAAATACGAAAAGCAGTGCTTCGAAACACGCCTATGACACCGTGGCAGATAATGCAACGTGAATTTACGAATGTATTTGTGCTCGAAAGTACGAGTGTTTAAAGATGAACCGCAACTAAAGAAAAATGTGCGTGTATGAAGGCCTGATTTTTTTATTTTTTTTTTTTTTGAAATCTGGATATTGGATATTCTGAGTAGTACGCAACCATTTGTTCGCCAGTTGTCTTTGAAGAAATCTGCAAAATCCACCGCCGATGACGGATTACTCTTCCCACAACAGTGGTAGCTCTCACACATCGACTGAAACAACAGTGTTTTTAGCACTCAAAATATCGATTTGAGGAGTCGTCTATCGTATAGTCCTGACTTATTTATTCCCATACATAAAAAATTAAAAATTAAACGGAGAAGTGAACGTT